CAATGACAAGCTAAACATGTCTACAAATCAATGACTTGTACCTTCCAAATGTAAGCATAAACATGCACGTTACAACAGTCAGTTATTACACAAAAAAGAGAAAGTTAGTAACATCATTTTCTATTAATATATATTTTCTATTAATAAACTTGCCAAAATATTGCTACTAATCTCTAAAACTTTCTTTTTCAACAGGCTAAAAAAAATAAATAAACAGATCTTTAGAAAGTCACAAAGTTCAGTCACTTGAATTTAAACATTTCACGTTCCACAAAGCCCTGGTTGAATAACCACTCCCATCTTTTTTGTACATCTCATTTTTTTTACATTCTAATTTTTACAGCATTATTTAGGAGGCAGCTGTTTTTGTGCAGTCTATATGTTTGTTATTCAGCAGCTATTTGAATCAAAAGCAGAGATGCCTGCCCATCTATGGTACTCATTTGGTCATGACTAACTTCTTTGGCCTTTGTCTCATTCCTATCCTTTGACAGGGATGAGTTTCTGAAACAAAAGGGACTATTTTCTTTCACAGCTCTCATAATTACTGGAACCAAACCCATGACAGGTACAATTGAAGGGGAAGAACTCAGTAGGATTTATTGACAGAACAGAGAGATAATAGTTTTGATTTAGAGGTCAAAGATAGATGACCAACCAAGTACACTTAAAAAATGCAATTTCATCACATACAGCTTAAAAATCACTTAGTATGATAGTTCTGTATGAAAATCTAGGTAACACTAGTAATATAAAAAACCTATATAATTAAAAGAGCAGAATACATTCTCAATAAGAAACAGAATCTCTTACTAGTGAGAGCCAACAATGTCCCCACTGAGGCATTCTAAGAATAATTATCAATTTTTGGCACAGATGGAAGGAAAAAGTAATGAAGCACAGCGATGTAACATCAGCAAATCACTCACAGTATCTAACTAATGACAACCCTCACTGGTGCTTGTTTTCAGGAGAAACTACTTGAACAAACTATTCAGTATCTACCAAAGAAAAAGGTTGTTTTTAAACAGCAGCTCAAACTAAACTGGAAATACCTGAAGAGTGCTGAACACAATGGCAGAAGGGAAGAGCTGGGACATTTTTTCTGTAGGTTTCTCAACACAGAAGTAAGGAGTGAGAGGCTCCCCCCACACCTTAAAGGCTGTCCCTGCCCATCTCTGGTGCTCATTTGGGTACGACCGAATTCCTCACGCTTTGCCTCACTGCTGTCCCTTGCCAGCAATGAGTGCAGAGAACAAGGGGAACTGTGTTCCTCCACAGCCCCACAAGTGCAGGGGATGGGAAGAGAACAGCACCAATTGAAGTTATAAATACAGAACCACAGAGCTCAAAAATAACACTGCCTGTTTTATCGCTGCTCGTGTCCACACAGACATGAGGCTGCTCGTGAGGAGCAGGGGAGAGCAACTGAGCTGGAACACACTGGGAGGTGAGGCCTGGGGACGTCTCAGCACAGAAATGTTGGGTATCAAAAGCTTCAAAGTAAGGCAAAACCCAAAAGATACTGGCTTCATTCAACTCGAAAGTGCTAAAAGAAGTGATGCTGGGTGTCATGGCTGTTATTGCTCTAATAATGAAATTATTTCCACTCAAATGTCCCAGCCAGGCCATTTCCTTGAATTGCTGCAAGATTTGCCAGGTTAAGAAATTCAAAGGCTGTGGCAGAGCCCTGTATTAGTTTTCTTAGAAAATACTTCCCCTGTAATACTCAACACTAATTGGTTTTTGTAGGTGGGAATTAAATGTCATCGTGAACACCTCCATGAAAAACACGTGACATTAACACTGCTTTTATCCCCAGCCTGAAGTTCTGGAGCCAAGTGACTAATGGCTGCACAAGGGGCAGAAAATTCTCCCAGATTTTTCAGTGTCCAAGGAAATATCTGTTAGAATTTCAATCTTTTGAGGTCCTATTTGTGCACCAGTCTTGAACGCTAAATATCTAAATAACTTTCTACACCCAGACTTGAACAAAATAAATTCTACTGATTAGATGACAAAATTAGTCCAATTCTATTTGCCTGCTTGTAACAGACTGAAAAATCTTGATCAACAGACAGATAAAGACCTACAAGATGTAAATAAATGATCCTACAGCCCACGACAAAAATCTGTCTTTATAAATGTATTTTCGGTAGGATTAGGTAATGCAGCCAGGCTCCTGAAATTTAGAAATGTTATCTCATCTTCACAAGATATAAGTGCAAAACAGGACCTAGAGAGAATTCTTCTTATTCTTTAAGATAAAATGTATTTTAGCAAGATCAAGTATCGGCATCTCATTTTCCCTCAAAAATATGTGTTCCCTTCTCCAAGCCATCACATCCTCTTGCCTTTGAAGTGGTTTTCAGTGGTAAGCAAACACCAGGAAAATTCTCATGCATGTAAGAGAAGCACAAACCATACTTTAGTACTCACTGCGATTTTATGATTCCTCATCATATTATCAAACTCTTCATTAATTTTTTTATATTTTTCCTCTGTATGTGGCGTGAGCACATATGAAGTGTCAGGGTCCGGGCTGTCGCACCCTCTGTGTTCCTTCTTGTTCAGAGCCTAAATAATGAAGTTAATAAAAAGGATCAACAAATAAAAAGTAGAGATAAAATAAAAGTACTTACAGGGCCTCGCTTGAAAATAAAATCACTATCTTCATTTAGTTTGCTGAATCTGTCCTCCGATAGCGGACTGTGCTCAAAGTAATCGTCAGCATCAGGGCTCTCACAACCATTAAGGCCTTTCTTTCTTAAGGTCTGAAATACAATTGGAAAATTCACATACAGATCACACTAACTTGCCATGAAGTTTTTTTTTTTTCTTTTTTTTTTGTACACTACTGAATCAATCCGAGCCCCTGAAACTACAGCAGACTTTCACAGGCAAAACTCACTGTCCAACACACAGGGTTAGTCCTTCGAGATAGTGGCAAAGGACACGGAGAGAAAAGGTTCCTCCAGGTGCCACCTCACAGGCAACTTTAAGCTACAACCACTTCACCTCCCCAGCATTCCCTGGAAAACCATTTTTAGACACTGGCTGATGGAGTGAAGGTGCCTGACAAGGGACATTCAAGCCTGTGGCAAAGCAGTTCATGCATCCACTGGTAATTAAAAGCCAGTTTACTGGATCTTGAATGAATTGATTTTAGCACCCCAATTTTAATGTTCACATTTTAAAAAGCACACAGTTAAAATTCTGAGAAACGCAATGCTAAGATTTTTGTTCCAATTCAACAACTGCAGGACATTAATACATGTAACACTCTCTGTAGTTGACAAAGGCAGGATCTTCCTGCACTTCTGTCATCCTGCATGATAACAACAACTGCAAAAAAGTATAAAAAGAAATTACATAATCCCTCTCTAAAATGACTTCGTTTGCTAAATATAAGCTTTTTCAGAGTCCTTCAGACTAACTTGATGCAACTGCTTTATTGGGCTACTTCCTGTTTTCTGATGGAGAACTCACACCAACATCCCCTGGAAAAAAAAAAAAAAAGCAAACTTGTCTACAATCCAGGCATCAGAGAAAGGATGTGAAGCTACGGGTCTGGTGACCAAAGTGTAAGAGATAATTGTATTTCTTGGTTTTCTTTTCCATCTATTACACAATCAGAAATCTTTCTCTGCAAGTTCTCGTTTATAACAAAACAAGATTTAAAATATTACCTGTGGAAAAATCTTTTTTTAAAAGCTTCAAAAGGAAAGCAGTGTAAATTTTATACAGACACACATTATCAGTACATAAGGAAGCAGTAGGACTATACAGGCATGAAGGAGTTGTGTGTTTCCTTTTTGTGAGAAATTATTTATATTCCATGAATTTTATACTAAAAACCCTAAAGATCTTAGAAATCTGCAAGTTGATATTTCCAGCACCATAAAGAAATTCCACGTTTTCCTATAAAAGCAGTTTCCATAACGCACAGAAATTCTGATTTCTAAAGCAAAATGGTTTAGTTTATACTATTCACCAGCATTTTTTCTTACTGTCTAACGATTTTTTAGTACAATAAAAAGTGCATAAGACTTTACTATTTATAGATATGCAAAACAGTGCTTATTTCTCCTGCAGTTTTCAAGCAGGAATCGAGAATCCAATTCGCCGCCTGAAATTCTTTAATATCACAGTTCACCAGAAGCTGTAATTCCTTCTCAAGTTTCTTGGCTCGCTCGGCGAATCCCACACAGTATCTGGAACTCCCACAAAAATGTAATCACTAAATCAGCATATGGGGGAAAACAGGTGTGGGTTCCTCCAGCACCTGTCACGGCCCCGATGCCGATCCCGCTGCCCCGACCAATCAGCTGGACACGGGAATGGACTTGGCCATACAAGGCTCGGCCTCTCAAGGTCGGAGCCTGTTCTCCCTCTCTCCCAGCCCTTCCTAACAAGTCAGCCTGCCAGGCTGCTACACTTCGGTATCAGCAGGGAAAATGTTAACACTGTATAATCTGGATTACACTTAACCCCTGCAGCCCACGGCAGTCTGGAAATAGAATCCAAATGTCTTTACCCGGGACACGATTACCGGCTGGAGTCAGACGCCACAAAGGTCTTGCGAGAACTCCACGCACTGTTACTTCTCCTCCTTTGATAAACACCTTAAAGCAATTTAAATCTTGCAGCCCAGGAGTTTCATTAGAGCTCCTTTCCATAGTCTAAAGCAATCCAGTGAAAGCTTTTAGGTGTAACGATGGCAATTCATCCCCCCGGATCTGCCCGAAAATTACACCCCACGTGGAACAAAAAGGAAGAGATTTAAATACAAAAATACCTCCTTCCTCTTGGCCACTGCACGTTTTTTATTGTCGCTAACAATGGGGTTAACTCTGCTTTGACTCATGAGGAAGGAAAATGCCTCAGTATCTCCCGTTTCAGGCTCTGGAAAGCGTCACTCCAGATGGGGTTCCTGTCATTGTGGAGGGATTTAAGCCAGGCTCAGCGTTACAGATAATCAGGCCGGGTCTGATCGCCAAAGCTCTGTCTCCTTATCACCAAAACACCAAGTGCCACTTGGAGGACCTGACCATAAAAAGCCTGCGAAGTTTATCAGCGCCCAGTAACACAATAGTAAAACATTCCAGCTGCAGAGCAGGGAATGCTGGAATCTGTTCACACGGGCAGGCGAGGCGGACGCGAGCCAGCCCAGCACAGGTTCTCACCGATAACAGGCCCTGCTCCAGGGAAAACAAGGAGGGACACACTGCTGGGAATCGCTCTGCTGGGACCCAGGAAAGCCATCAACAAGGGCTGACCCCGCCCTCCAGATTCTTCTGCGCTAAAAATCTGTTATTTCTCCAAATAATGTAAATCAGTCGCCTCTCTGAGCTATTCCCAAGATATTATTGTGGGGACTGAAATTTTACTGACTCTGAGAAATAAAATGCCAGTTGGTGAGATCAAATAATTTGTGTAATGTGAAGAGAGTTTTATTTCTCTGCTGTGATACACGAGCTTGTTTAGAATAGAACCAAGAGTTTTTACAGTTGAGGCTACTAAATATAGGGTATAATTTTCTTACAACAGCAAGAGGGGGAAAGAACATTAAATTCCAAGTTTTGCTATTGGATGCTCACTGCAGTTACCTTCTGGTGTGAAGCCTTGTTTTCCAGATCATCTAAGGGAATGTGCAGCCCTTTCAGTTAATCTCTATTACTTTCCACTTCCTCTAAGACTTAGCCGAAATTACTGGAAATCGTTCCAACGTGTTTGCCAACGCACTGCATTGTGCCCTAGTAACTGAGATTGTGCAGCTTTGATCTCAGACTGCTCTAACTACACTGAGGAGAGAAAAGGACTGATTTCAGTCAGAGAACAATTTAAAGCATTTACGAAGAATCAAGGCAAGTGTGAAACCTTTTCTATAAAAGAATGAAGCAAATACAACAATACAGCTCTGTGATGAAGTTCTAGACAGGTGTGGTCATCCTGATACTGCAGAACGACCCTGAAGCTTTAACTGCTTTTGTTCCACTGTGTAAAACTGAATTATGTGAATATTATAACTACTGGATTAATATTTATTTATTTTTATTTGAATGGCAGAGCTTAGAAAACAGTGTATGAGAAAGGCTGGACTGGCTATGATGGGTTTAAACATTGCAGTCAAGCACATGGTAATATTTTCCTGAACTTCCCCACACATATGCAAAGCACTTTTTAATTGCACTGCATTTTGCTAATTTAAGGAAAGAATCATGCCAGAATCATGAACAGAAGAAGAGCTTCTTGCAAAACAACAACAGAAAGGAATAATTGGCTTCTCTCTACAATTCAACATAAATTTTACTGAAACCAATAATACCAACGAGTGTAAAAATACAATAAAGCCATTTATTGCTTGATCCATGAGGAAGCAAAGATGATACTCAATCATCAGAGTGTGATTAGCATAAGCTTCCTTCCACAGTATCCAACAGAGACACTGGAAATGCAGGAGCCTTGAGCCTGCTGAGCCTCCACAGCGTGAGATCAAGTCATCACCTCCCCGGGCTTGTTCCAGTCCCACAGGATCACAGGGGATCCAGACACGGGCATGGGCAGCTCTGGGAACCAGGAACTCTGAACCAACACACAGGGGTGGATCACTGCTGCCAGAGATGAAGGACAACCCCCAGCTGTGCTCCCATCCCAGATCCTGGTTTGGATCCCAGGGACACGCTGATTCACAGAGCGCAGTCGGCGTGTTCTGGGCTCCGAGATCCACTGAGGGGGAGCTTTCTGGTCCTGGGGATTGGGCTCCTCACCAGCTCTGGCAGAACTGCAGAGAATCTGTCTATGCTCATTGTCACATCAGGAAACAATATTTTTCTGCCTTAAAGCAAGAATGTGGGGTGACCTCATGTGCAAAAAAGTGTCAGGTCACTCAAAACATTGAGTGTTGGGTTTCTTGTAATATTACACAAAAAGGAAATGGTTGCTGCTGTCAGAGCTCCCATGGATCATGTTAACAGCTCTATTTTTGCACTCACTATTGGAGCTGGCCAAACAGGATTTTTGCTGGTGTTTCATCCCAAATTATCAGGAAAACCATGTCCAAAATTTGACTAAGATTGAAATGAGAAGTGATTTCCCTTGGAAAAGGCAAACCTTTCACTTAAATCCTGTAGCTGGTTCTGCTTCTGCTCCTGCAGTCGGAGCACAGAAAAGCTGTGAAGCAGCATAAATTTGGAGTAAACCCTTTTTAAATATTGTAATTTTTTAAAGTGTAAGTATTCCTCGGGCCTAAAGTAATGGAAAGGTCCTACCAGGTACTGCCAAATATTACTGCTGCTCCAGGAGGCAGCTACACCACGGCTATCAGAAGGATAAACAATTACAGTTTCCCGATGCTCTAGTGGAGAGTATTTCTTTCTTCACTAAAATGACAGAAAATTCTCCTTGGTCATTCTTTATTTAACTTATTTTTTTGCTGGGTTTGGATCCAGTTGCAGCAGGAATAAGTGGTTTTCCAAGGTGTGGGCTGAGCACCACAGAACCAGGGGAGGCAGAAGGAATGGCCTGTCCTCTATGGCAGCAGCCACCTCTGATAAATCACATCTCACATTTCAAGCCACACCTTTTTTTCTGAGATATTCACCAAATGAAGGACAAACACAGCAGTCACAGCAGCAACAGATTTCACTCTCAATACCTGAAACATGAGAGACAGAAAACAGGGCATATTCCTTTCCTGCAGCTCAGCTCCCTGCCCACAGCAGAGACATTCAGCAGGCAAGAACCACACGTATCAATCACTTTACATACAGCA